GCCCAGGACTCTTCTTACGTAGGGCATGCCGGCCCGGGCTGTGCCAGGCCTGGGGGTCCAGGGTGACCAAGGCAGGGTCCTTGCTCTCTGGGACACGTGGTCAGGCAGAGCTGGGCCCGGGCCCCTCTGCATCCTTGCTATGTAGCCGTGGCCCTGACCCCTCATCTCTCGGAGCCTGTGTTCTGTGCCTAACTCCTGCTGGGGACTGAGCTGTTGCATGCAGCCAGGACATGGGCTGAGGGAGTGTTCCTGGGCAGCGGGAGGTGGGGGGTGCTCCCTGGTAGTGGTGGTGACCCGGAGTAGCCGGCCAAGTGGCCAGTGAATTGGCCTTCTTGATGGGAGAAGCCCTGAGGCCTGCAGGGTGGACCTGAGGGGTCATGGTCACTAGCACCGCCCTGAGGAGGTGAGAGCTGAAGGGCTCCCACCGTGTGGCCCCGGGCAGGTCACAGCCTGTCCTTTCTAAGCTGCTTCAAAATTCAAATTAGGCTCATTGGCCCCCCAGCCCCCGCCCCAGGTTAGGAAGAGAACACACTGAGCCAAGGGTGTGGACTTAGTGACCAGGCCTGTGGGAGCCGGAGACCAGGGCAGCCTCGGGGACATGCCAGGCCCCGGTGCTGTGGGGGGGCCCCAGGACACCCCTGGGAGAAGCATCCTCCCTTTTCTATTCTCTCATTCTGACCTCGTCGTGGAGAACGGCTCCACTCGGTGCTCATGGTCCTGACCGCCTGGCCCAGCCTGGAGGCTCCTGAAAGGCGAGGGAGCCCGCGGCGGGCACACCTGGAGGAATGAAACCCCGTGTGGCTGGGCTGCCTGTGCCAGCGAGTGTGGCTGGTTTCCCGTTTACATTAGTTATTTAAAGTTTCCTCGAAAATAAACGTATTTAAGTTCTAAAAGGTGGGTCTATTGAAAGAAGAACACGAAATATGTAAATGGTAATACAGGGGAGAGAGAAGGCAGGCAGCCTGCGGGGTCAGCCGCCCCGTCTGGGTGGGGTACGGGCGAGGCCTCCGCAGCTGCTCTCTCTGTTCCCCATGCCAACCCGGGTGTGCGGGAAGCCCCAGCTCCGTAACCTCTCACCTGGGGGGTCCATGTCACATCTGTCAACTGCCCCCCCAAACACACACACACTCCCACTCACATGCACGCGCCCCTTCATCCCGGGGGCCGTCTGAGTGGAAAACAGCCAGAGACGATAAGGGGGTAGGGAAATCCACCCTCAAAACCATCATCTTTATGACAGCCTCCTGACCTCAGGTGTGTCCCAATGGATGAAAACCTACGCTGCCCCAAATTCCTCACCACAGAATCACTTTGTTCAGTTTAAAAAAGCCTGGAAAACTTAAAGAAAACAAACAAAAGCTTTAAAAGTTCCAGTAACAGCCAAAACCGGTTTGGCTCAGTGGATAGAGCGTCGGCCTGCGGACTGAAAGGTCCCAGGTTCGATCCCGGTCAAGGGCATGTACCTGGGTTGCCAGCACATCCCCAGTGGGAGATGTGCAGGAGGCAGCTGATCAATGTTTCTCTCTCATCGATGCTTCTAAATCTCTATCTCTCTCCCTTCCTCTCTGTAAAAAATCAATAAAATATATTTTTTTAAAAAAAAGTTCATTTTCTAGGCCTTTGAGTGCTACCAAATGACCACCCCATGCTCATTTCTACATTGAGAGTGACAAACGCCACTCAGACCAAGATTTCCACTTCTCCAAAGTTTTAATGAGTACTATGGGCCAAAAAGGGAATGAGAGTAAAACACGGAGGTGAGAACAAGATAAGAGAAGGCCATTTAGGGAAGAGATTCTCAGAGAATCCTACAGTGCTGAGGAAGGTGAGGGAAACCTGATCCCGTGTTGGGCCCTTCACATTGCTGCTGACCAGTAAATGGTATCTTTGAGAGAAAAAAGAAAAACAGCGAA